TGGATTTTAAACGACTTGTGGAACATGTTTCGGGGCAATGGTTAGTTAGTGCAACTGCCGAATTGTCCGATCTTCTCGGATTATTTCCAACACCGAGTCATACAGCTCGTTAGGTAGACAGGACCTGCTTGCACGTGAGCTAAATATGTAACAGCTACCCCAAAGATAAATTAAATCAAGTCATCCCACGTGCAGGAGACGGATCTAATTGTGACGTCATAAGATATCATTGTTTTCTTATATTTGTAACAGTCAGTGTGTGCATACATACCTCAAGCAAATGGCTAGCCATTGCCTCGGGCATATTGCCTCCCTTGTCTTGCAAACTTTCACCACCGATTCTTCCACCAGGTAAAGTACTTGCTAACTGCTCTCTAGTCAGTCTGAAGTAATGTTGAAACTGTTCCTCATCCAGTTCCAATTCCTTCACTAAGTGGTAGTATGCTCACTACGCTTTTGATGGACCCACCACCTATGTTTTCTTTTTTTTAGCATTGTGATGGCCTCTGTGAAGGATAATACCGGCCATCAGAAGGAAGTGGCCATACTCTTCTAGTTCTTGACGCAGACGTCGGGATATATTGCCATGCTGTGACTTTCTGGGAAAAAAGCACACCTCACAAACGTAGTTTTCACGTTTACCTCACGGATGCGAACGCAGACACGCACCACGGATCACGGACAAATGGATGCGTGGCCTTACATTCAACCCCACAATATATCGACCACTGGGTGTCAAAGTTTCAAAACCTGTGACCTTTGTTCTGTAATCCTTTTCGCCAACTGCTAACAGGATGAATGGGGTGCACAATAAACTAGTTCCTGCCCGTGGCAAAATCCAATTTATGATTTTATAATGACTGTCAGTCATGCTAGCATTACCTGATATTTAATATCCAACATTCTATATTGAAGAACATTTGCATAAACATGGGTCACTGAGGATGATGCAATACGCTCAAAACATTGCCGGTGGAAGGATTGCGTCCAGCCTTGAGTGCGCGTGTGGTGGATGTTGAGCTGATGCAACACCCGCCGGCACCGTCATGGAATCCAACGCACCAGCACTATACTGCCATACAACTGAATGTACTTAGTTTTTGAATCAGAACGATGAAAACCAGATAACAGATTATGGATTGTGAATATTTTACCGGGTAATATTTTGTTGTAGTCTGTAGAATAAAACTCAAATGGAAACTGTCACTAAAAGTGAGGGCCAAGAAACACATACAAAACACACATCGTTTACCCACAACGCATGCTGTCGATTAATTCAGTTCCTCCCAAGTAAACATCTGTCTTTCTTATATTTATCAAAAACATACTATATGTATATATAATCACCTCACCCCCGCCAGGATTCGAACCCACGATACTATGACTGACCGGGGAACGTTTCCTCTGGGCCACCAGAGAGCTAACGAAATATACTGTATATGGATCCTCATGTTTCGAAGCCAGATTTGGTAAAACGTTACTCTGATCACCTAAGCGGCACGGGTAGTCCCCATTAATGGTTCACGGCGCCATAAGCTCGTTGAACAGGCTTTGTGTGAAATATAACAGAGTCTAGGACTGCTTTTTGTGTCCTGGTGGCCCAGAGGTAACGTTCCCCAGTCACAGTCATAAGATCGTGGGTTCAAATACTGGCGGGGTGAGGTGTTGATTATATGTAGAAGTCCTCATGCTTTATTGGGTTAATGAAATATATATATATATATATATATATATATATATATATATATATATATATATATATATATATATATATATATATATATATATATATATCATGTAAATCCACAATGAAAACGTGGATAAGATAAATCTTGATCAAATCATACGGGAAAAGGGAAACAACGGAGCACCTTAGCTTTCGTCTTTATTCAAGACATCTTCAAAGGCAACTGGATTACATGGACAGAGAGAGGCTTAAATATACAGGGTGACCTTAAAAACATGAGGTCAGGTCATAATGATGTCATCCACTAATCCCCACACCAACACACACGTAGAGGAGCTTAAGAGAAGAGGGGTGACGTGACTAGTCAGGTCAGGTCAAAAATAAGGGACCCACAAAATAACTCTCATACATCTAGATCAAACATATCGTTTCTCGATGTAGATCTTTGTTTTTTTTTTGGGGGGGGGGGGGGGTTCCTTTGTTGTTGTTGTTATTATTGTTATTATTGTTATTATTATTATTATTATTATTATTATTAAATTGTATTTTTATATATTATAGTTTATATTTTTTGTATTCTTATTCTTATTATCTTATTATTATATTTTCGCCCCCAGGCCCCGATGTGTGTCGTTGACCTGTTCCCTGGTGGGCTAACCCCGTAAAAAAAATCATAAACAGTAAAATTCACAACATTTCATACATACAGACTACTGGTGAGGATTGTTCACAATAAATAGTGGTAAATGTGGCATGGGGGCCCTCTCAAACGGAGCCAGACTGAGGATATGAGACAGTTAATAGTCACGTAGGAGAGTAGACTAGAGATGCACTCACCCTTTTCTAACCCTCCCTTCCCTCCTAAAACCCACAGCGTCAAGGACCCACCCATGAGCCTCCCCATCAGTCGCGCGGTCATAATTTTTTCTTTACTTTTACTTTTATCCTTTTCGCCATTGATCGGCTCGTTAGCCGCTTGGGCGGTCGGTCACGTCTCTGTTACGCACTGTTGGCAAGTACTTGGCATGCACTAGTTCCTGAATGTATCTAAAGTTCTATACCTGCTCCAGTGTTGGTCAAGTCTGGTCTTGAAACAGCTCACACTCGGTGCCGTCACAACAGGTTATTCCAAGAGTTCACAACTCTCACTCCTAAAAAATTTGCCCTTACAGTTTTCTGGACACCCTGTAATCTTCAGGGGCGTCTGAACCATAGCACATTTAATGTGGGGCCAGATGAAGGAGTTTCAGTACTCGATATATTTTGCCCTTCGAGTTAAAGATCGAAGAACGACAGTCTTCTTTGTTTCTAGGCGCAATATTTATGGATTTGTCAACGTCTATAATAATGTACGATGGTGGAGTGGCTTGCCCTTCTTGTCTGCCTGCGAGTTCACAGTATTGTGCCGGACTCTTTAATTTTTAATCTTAATTTGTCATTTCACCACTTACGAGCTTACTGGCAGTTTGGGTTACGTACACGATATCTCTGATTATACTATAATACGGTTAAGTGCGGAGTTTTCTATCTCGGTGTGGTACTTGAGAGACAAATGGGTGATCATTTTTTAATGAGCTCATGAGATAATCGACGTCTGGGTTCAACCAATCACAAGTCAAAACTAGAATGAGGGGCTGTGGTTATTTTGGATATCAATAAAAAACTAACTATGTCACTGTCTTGTACTGAACATCACAAACTGAACTTATTACATGAAAAATAGCAACACAATACACCACAGACTTAATTAAATGAATAAAATAAGCACTCAACTGTGATATCTTAATTCTTTAAACAATCTAAAATCAGTTGGTGATATAAAAAATGCAGCTATTTTTATAGCACAATTAACAGAAAATATAAAAATTCCTCAAAAGTTAAACAATGACCAACAGTCATACGGTAATAAAAAATAACTAATGGTTCCACAGGATAGTTTGTGACCGGGCCCTTTCCTGCTACTACAGTACCAAAAAGTTTCCTGGAAATTGACCCTTCTAAAGATTTAGATTCAGTACAAACTTGTTCAACATTATACTACATCCCTCAACGGTGTTTTTTTTTATCTTAAAAAAATAAATAATAAAAATAATAATAATAATAACAATACATTTTCTAACGTTTGATATCTTTGGTTTCTGTCCAATGTCTTTAGAGACTTCTCCCCGGATGAGATGGCGGTGGGAATTTTCAGTCACCATTTAGTACTAATTATAAATATGCAGGAGCTCTTCAATTCACAAACGCAGTGTAAGAAAAGATCTGAGGTAAAATGACTCCTTCACCTATCTTGCAGACATTGGTAATATGCAAGCAGGTCTCCAACAATATTCCCCACTTTTTACTACTGCATTTACCTTACTGTAGCGAAACAGGTATAATTTCCAGTACACAAGGATATCAAGGACCTGATCACCTCACTACATACACATAGCCGAAATTAAGTTCCACCTCATATTAATGTTATAAAGATTGGGTGTGAAGGGATTTCATCGACGTCCTACGTTTCCAACCAACTTACGGTCATAACGGAAAAAGGACCCTATAGTTTGTATTATATTTTATCCTCTTCGTCACTGATCAAGCGGCTTCAACAGCACAGTAGGTAGTATAGGTAGTAGGCAGCTATCAAACAGTGAGGTACTGCCGCCTGGGAAGATATTGGAAGTATAATTGCGTTGTCTATTGGTAGACCCTGCTGCCATTTGGCACCACAAAAATTGTGACCATGTCCCAGGTTGCTGATCTGACTTTCTGCCGCATTTACACACAATTACAGGGTCTCAATTGTTTCTACCCGTTATTTGTGTGTATGCATAATTGCATGCACACAAATAACGCACATAAGACACTTGTTAAACACTTTAAGCTCACACTAACCGTGTGCTGCTTGTGATTTTTAGTGAGTGCATTTGAAAGGTACTTGTGTTTAGTACGACAGGAAGTGTGTAGGATAACAGCCCGCGCGTCAACACTTCGCAGGGTTGGGTCTCAGGTGCATTGAGTGTATGTATGTGTGCACCACAGGCGATGTGCCAGAAATAAAGGTTCCCGCCCTTCTTACAGTACCAATCACACACTAGCAAAGCACTTTAGAGCAAAACGCTTAAAGTCGATTCGTTTGGTCCTACTTACGTGAACATATGCTGGATAACCTTACAACCCGGCGTCTATGCTAACTTTAAGGCACGCTTGTATAAATTGCACGTGGTCTTGTCAGCCACGCGGCTGAATCATATCGATTATCGCTGACTAACTCAGTAATGACACATACAGTTAAAAAAATGACACACAATTATCAATTTTCACCTACCTTTAAAGATGCAGTGTTCACGGTGAATAAAGAATGAACACAAGAGATGTTTACTGTGAAGGAACCGAGAAACCGTGAGCAGACACCACCACCTCCCGCTGTCGTCTGCTACGCCAGCTTGACTGCCAGCCACACACATCTACGGGTCTAGTACAGATGCCAAGTACGGCAACTGAGAAAAACTTGCGCCCTTAAAAATTACATAATTTAAATGACGTACTTATATCATTTAGTTTCATTTCTAATAGCAAGTATTGTAAAGTATTTCAGTATGCATTAAATTTATCAAACTATTTGCACTCGTCAAAGTATGTTTATCTTATTTGCAGTGTATACTCAAGATGCAGTTAACAATTTCGCCAAATGAGAGACTTTAAACTTTAAGCAGTTTTAAATGAAGTGTGGGTGGAAATGAAATGTTTGCCCAACATTATCTCTAACACCAAGCGGGAAGTGCGTGTATGCGTACGTGCGTTCAGGCGAGGATATGCACAGCAGTGAAAGAAGACTTGTGTATATGTAATGTGCTGCAGCGTAGGCGATCACGACCGCAAAACGTAGAACCCTAAAACATCGAGGGTGAAGTAAATGAACTTACTATAACGGGTGATATATTATAATATAAATAAGAAATAAGAACGAGTGACTTACCCTTTCTGTTAGATAATAGAAGTGTGGCAGTTAAGTAACGTCGTGTAAATAAGGGCGCGGTAGTGTTTGTGATATCAACTGCATGAACTCAGCAGTTGTGTAATGAACCCCTACAGTGGTGTGTGATCTCAGTTGTCGTGTCAGTGTGACATCGCTCGTGCGTATGGCGTGCGTTTGAGTGACATCACTCGTGCGTATGGCACGCGCCAGTGTGACATCACCTCCACCTGTGTGATCTCTGTTGTGTAATTGTGATATCACTCTTGCGTATGGCGCGCCTTTGAGTGACATCGCTCGTGCGTATGGCACGCGTTTGAGTGACAGCACTCGTGCGTATGGCACGCGTTTGAGGGACATCACTCGTGCGTATAGCACACGTTGTGTGACATCACTCGTGCGTATGGCATGCGTTTGAGGGACATCACTCGTGAGTATAGCACGCGTCAGTGTGACATCACCTCCACCATACGCACGAGTGATGTCACACTAACACTGTCGTGTTAGTGTGACATCACTCGTGCTCATGGCACGTGTTTGAGTGACATCACTCGTGCGTATAGCACACGTTGTGTGACATCACTCGTGCGTATGGCACGCGTTTGAGGGACATCACTCGTGCGTATGGTACGCGTTTGTGTGACATCACTCGTGCGTATGGCACGCGTTTAAGTGATATCACTCGTGCGTATGGCACGCGTCAGTGTGACATCACCTCCACCTGTGTGAGTTTAATGATAGGGGGTCTGTTGTCTGTTAGTGTGACATCACTCGTGCGTATGGCACGCGTTTGTGTGACATCACCTCCACTTGTGTGAGTTCAGTGATTGTGGGGCGTCACCATAAGTAGTAGCTGTTACTAAGCATTACTGCATACATTTATCGAGCAAGACAGATCATGCTCGCTGTTCTGGCAGTCATGGACATGGAAGAAGGGAGGAGCATGTCCGGCGTGGAGCAGGGAGACACTGTCGGGTACGGGTTGTTGGGTTCACTCTCAGGATGGGATGGAGAAAGGAAACTCACAATGTGCTCTCGGTATACATATTGTATTGGATGTACAGTGCAGCTTGGTGATGGGAAGTGGCAGCGTGGTTACAAGCGTGATGTAGAGAGAGCTGGTTGGTGAGGGTGCTCAGAGGAGGACCAGCTTGTGGGTCGCCATGGTCGCTGGCGGGAGCGAGGGCCGCCAGGCAGGAGGAGGAGGAGGAGGTGTTGCTTGAGGACTGGCTGTAGGTAAAAAGAGAGGTAGGTCGATACGATACGAAGTCATTAGTTAAGAGGTGAAAGAAGATTATTAGGAATTGAAGAAAAAGTGGTGAAACTGAAATACAGTAGGAGTAGAAAGAATCTGGGCTCAACCAGATCGCTTCATCTTTCTTATTGGTGTTTTGTCTTTGTTCTGCTCCCTTGGGTCGTCAGACCTTTGTATTAATATTGGTTTATTTATATAATGCTGCTTATTATTATTATTTTTGTTATTGTTGGAGTTAGTGAGCCCGCCCAGGTCCTTGTGTAACTGGGAGGGTAGTCACATTTTTTTTTTGAGGTGTTAGTTAAGTGTTAGTTGTGTTAGTCTAAAGGTACACTGTATGGAGAGGCCTGCCAGGTTCTTAGTGGAGCTGGTTGGTCACTCTCATCTTTATTCCTCTAGTAATGTTTTATGTAGAAATGTGTATGTTGAGGCAGGAGGTGGTTCAATTACTTCTTCCTGGCTGATATAGCTGGGAGGGTAATCACATTATTATTATTAATATTATTAATATATATATATATATATATACTTTTTTTTTTTTGGAGTTAGTGAGCCCGCCCAGGTCCTTGTGTAGCTGGGAGGGTAGTCACTTTTTTTTTTTTACTAAGATGTTAGTTCAATGTTAAATGTTAAATGTTAAATAAATGTTAGTTATGTTAGTCTAAAGGTACACTGTATGGAGAGGCCTGCCAGGTTCTTGTGGAGCTGGTAGGTCACTCTCATCTTTTATTCTCTCTATTAATGTTTTATATGTATATTGGGGCAGGAGATGGTTCAATTACTTTCTTCCTGGCTGATTTAAACCAACTGTGTTCTTGGAATTCTTCGTTGTCTATATTATTTATCCAGTTTTGATATGTTTCTGTGTTAAGTTCAGTCACTTTTTTCCAAATATTTACAGCTTTGTTGTGTATATCTACATTGATTGCTAAGAGATTTGCTCTCTTGTGTAGCTGTTCATTATTGATGTGGTCTGTATATTTTATGTTATATATAAATCTGAGGGCTATATTTTGTACTGTTTGTAACCTTTTAATGCTCGTTTTACTAAGGGTGTTCAATGGGATGGGTGGGTAGTCCATAATTGATTTAACAAGGGCAATATAAATCTTTCTTTTGTTATTAATGCTAAGGTTCTTAAAGCGTTTTATTTTTGATAATCTTATTCTTGCCTGTCGTTCTTTATCTTTTAAGTATGTTATATATCCTCTTTTTGTTAGTTTTAATCCAAGCATCCTGCCTTCAGTGTCGTATGGGTATAGTTCCTGGTCGACTATTACTGGACTTGTTTTGATCTTGGCTATTGGTATTATCTTGAATTTGTTTTTATTTGTCCTGATTTTCCATTTTTTCTCAAAATCATTTATGTTTTTTATCGCCTACCGTGTAGAGTGCCATAAATTGAGTTGATTTTCCTGGGTATGATACTATTTGAGTAATATCATCAGCAAACATATTTACATATTCACTAAAGGGGGTAGGTTGAGGTGTGTCTGAAGTATAAATTGTATATAGTGTTGAGAAAGGCATCCTCCTGAGGCACTCCACTCTCAAGATTAAACATAGTTCCTAAAAGTTTCCAATTTGAATTTGTGCTCTCCTATCATCTAAATAGTTACACAATATTCTTAGCAAGTATTCGTTAAGTCCCAGTTTTAATATTTGCGGCTTCAAGCCTAAATGCTAAATCCTTATCAAAAGCCTTAGAAACATCCTCAAAATTATATTGATCTGGTTACCCTTGCTTTTTCTATTGCAATTATTTCCGTTATTATAGCTATTGCAGTTAGGTATTTCTATTAAGTATAAATCCATGTTGTCTGTTGTTAGTTTTCTCCTGCTGTGTTAAAAGGCTATAAGTCTTGAATTTAATATTTTTCCAATAGTTTCCCGGTAATTTCTAATAGTATAGTTGGCCTGTAGTTTAATATTTCTTATTGTCCTTACCCTCTTTAGGAATAAATATCATTTTAAAGACATATTTTAGTTTGTCTGAAAGCAACCAGTTATTACATGCGTTATAAATGTTTAATAGTGTATTTAAAATGTTTTCAGGTAGATTCATGATCATATTTCGTGTAATACCTGTGAGCCCAGGGGCTTTTTTCTCTTAAATTTCAGACAGTGCATCATTTCTCCCATGGTTATTATTTGATTATTAGGTACAAGTTATAGTCTATATATTGGTTTTGGGTGATTCTATGTATTTGTCTTCCTATTTCTTCTTCTATCCTTTCTTCGTGTTCACTATCAAAATTCCTCTATTTTCCTCTATCTGATATTTTAAAACTTTACCCATTCCCTTTTGAATGCTGACTCTTGTTCATTTTCCTCGTGCAATTTGTTCCATTTGGTCTTTAATGTATGGTGTTTTTGCTTGTTGTGCCCCATCATCTTGTAATACCTGTGAGCCCAGGGCTTTTTCCTTAAATTTCCTCAGACAGTGCATCATTTCTCCCATGGTTATTATTTGATTATTAGGTAATAAGTTATAGTCTATATATTGCCTTGGGGTGATTCTATGTGTTGTCTTTATTTCTTCTTCTCATTCTATAAAAATCTCTTTTCCTCATTCTTCATTGTAATAGGTCTGGATTAATTTAACTTCTTCTGGTAGTCTGTTGTTGGGTAATGTTCTAAAGTGTGAAGTAGGAGTGTGTTTGGTTATAGATGTTTTTATTGCTGAGTGCAGTCTGTCCATTTCTGAGTCTATATCTTCTGTTGTTTTCCCTTGTAGGTTAATCGAGTGGTGATTACTTAAGTCTTCTTTGAAGCTGTCCCAGTCTGTTTTACTCATTTTCAGTCTCCTTTTTATTGGTATCTGTATGGGGCTTGTTGACAGTGTTAGTATAATTGGCAGATGGTCACTGCCTGTAAGAGGAGGACCAGCTTGTGGGTCGCCATGGTCGCTGGCGGGAGCGAGGGCCGCCAGGCAGGAGGAGGAGGAGGAGGTGTTGCTTGAGGACTGGCTGTAGGTAAAAAGAGAGGTAGGTCACCACGAGGTCAGGTCTTATATTGCGGAGGTAGGCGTGGCTTAATAGTTGACCTCCGTCATGTAAGGCGGCGCTGGTTGACCTAGACCACGAGGCATACACTGGAGAATTCGCGGGGTCGGCTACTCAGTGACAAACAGCGTTTGTAGGGGAGGAATCCACTACAACACTCTTGACATAGAAACCGACGTCTGACCCACGTTGCCAAGGCAGCGTGAGATAAACCTGTCTCCCGAGAAGAGAAGGGAACC